TGGTATGAAACCTAGCTGCTCATTAGAATCACTTGGAGCTTTAAAAAGAGATCAATATCCAGAAATTCGGACTAACTGGGCATCTATATATAGTTTCTTAAAACTCCCTGCAAGTTTTTACTTGCAATCAGGGTTACAAGTGGTTTGCTAGAGAGGCTCAGTATCCACATCAGATTCCTATTATCCTAATGCAGTAGTTTTCAAAGTGTAGTTCATGAAACCCTTTTATGGGTTCATGAAGTCAAAACTATTTTTATAATACTAAGAAGATATTTGCCTTTCTACTGTGATGCCATTTTCATTAATGATGCAAAAGTAATAGTAGCAACAGAATTATTATCTTAGCCTCCCACCCCCTGGCATATAAACCTTGCCTTTTCTCTTAACATTTTTTTCGAATGGCATTGCATGGTAGCAAGGGCATATGATTTGGTGTCAAAACTGTCAAGTTTAAATCATAGCTTTGTTATTTATAAGCAGTGTGATCCTGGCGAAGTCACTTAGCTCATTGCATCTGTTTCTTCACATATGAAATGTAGCCAACAGATGTAAGTTTTTAACAAAACCTTGTAGGTAAAGCACCTATCATAGTAGGTACTTAAGCAATATAGTAAGACCTCACTTAATGTCATCCACAGGTTCTTGGAAATGGCAACTTTAAGCCAAACAATGTAGAATTCAACTAATTTTATCATAGGCTAACAAGAATTAAGTTCCTAGGGCCTATTTCTGGTCACAAAAACATCACCAAACTTCTAAACAAAGACCAAAACACACCTAATATTAAACAATGAAATAAATGTGAGCTATATATACATTTAAGAAAAATTAATAAAGACAAGATTATTCACCCACTTATTCCAGTTCAGGGTCACCCAAGGGCTTATCCCAGCAGCTCAGGGCCATGGCCAGCACCAGCTCTAGCCAGGGTGTCATCCAGTTGCAGGGTGTACTCACAGACACCTCCACTCCCTCACACTGGGACCACACAGTCACACCAATGAACCTAACATGCACATTTTCGGGATGTGGGAGAAAACCAGAGCACCTGGAGAAAACCCAGGCAGACATGGGGAGAACGTGCAAACTCCACAAAGTAGCCTTGATTGCGATTTGAATTTTTTCCTCATCAATGTTACTGCAGGACCTACTGTATTTCCTTCCTATCTAATCAATCATACAAGCTGGAGTGGTGCTTCATCACCCCTCACTAAGTACCTCAAAATGATTTTCTTCATTATCCTTTCCTTCCAACCTGTTATTGTTAAGAGTTGAGGCATTCTGACTCCCTGGTTCACTATCTACTACCTGGTGTAGTGCATGTTTTCAAGCTGGTCTCCCAGATTCTTTCTCCATTTAAATATACAGTCCATGTTACCGGCTGGTTTTCTAAAATGCACGCCTTTATTTCCCTACTCCAAAGCCTTTATCAAGTAAGCAATTAAACATTATCAAAATACAAAGTCCTTGGTGTGGCACAAAGCTCTTCTAGATCTGGCCCTACTCTTTTCTTCTAGCCTCACCTCTCACCATCTACTCTACTGAACCTCTTTCTATTCCTGCCACATGAGTCCCCAATCAACTATGCAACTTCATGCCTTTTGTTTCCTCCCATTTCCTTTACCTAAAAAATAGAGCAGCTTTCCCACCTCTGGCTAATGACTCCTGCCCTAATATTAACTGTTTAACATACAAGTTAGACTGTTACTTCCTTGGGGATTGTCTCCCCAGCAGTTCCCATCCAGAATTACTCCTTCCTCATAATTTTCTACATATTTCTGCTACAAGATGAGAGAAAATATTTCACACCTTTTCTGATACTCCATTTAATTATAAAACGTGGACAGTAACTCCAACTTTGCAGGGTTTGTGAGCATTAAATGAGAATAGCTGTAAATCACTTAACACATCCAAGAAGAGATGAAAATCAACTTCCTAATGGTTAACCACGTAAAGGATGGAAACTGGTAATGATTCTAACGCTGTTTGGCTCCTTCTAAAGCCCAAGCTCTTTCCACTACACATGTTGCCTTAGCAACACATAAGAATTACTTATTTAATAATCTCTCCCACTACACTGTGAAGCCCATGAAGACACTGAGCACCTTTCTATCTGCAAAATCTCATGCATCTTGAGTCCTAACTATAATTCGCATTGTGGATGTAGAGATTAAAAGACTTTGTCTTTAAGAACTCCACCTAGAGGAAGAAGTATAAGCAACACCATATCGATGTTTTCTGTGATAAGTGCTCTACTAGAGGGATACTGGAGATTTACACATTGACTAGGGATGCCCATATGGCTACTTAAATAGAGTAGAAGAAAATAGAAGGAGTCAGGGAAAGCTTCTTGGAAAGAGATGATACTTGAGCCAAATCTTGAAAGATTTTAGGAGTTGGGGAAAACAAGGCATTCTTTATTTTTCTGAGAACCTTGAAGAACAGAGTCTCACTCTGTTGCCCTGGGTAGAGTGCAGTGGCATCATCATAGCTCATGCAGCTTCAAACTCCTGGGCTCAAGCGATCCTCCTGCTTCAATCTCGTGAGTAGCTGGGACTAGAGGTGCCATTATGCCAGGCTACTTTTTTTTCTATTTTTAGTAGACCCAGGGTCTTGCTCTTGCTCAGGCTGGTCTCAAACTCCTAAGCTCAAGCAATCCTCCTGCCTCGGCCTCTCAGAGTGCTAGGTAGGAATACAGGTGTGAGCCACTGCACCTGGCCTAAGGCATTCTGAAATTCTTTAAAAGTATTAATTCATAAGTGATGCAATTACTGTTTATGCTGATAGTTGTAGATTACTACTGATCAACATTTTTGTCCTTGAAATGCTTTTGAAAAATGGATTCATTAAAGTACAGTAATTTAGATTATTAAATCATTACCACCAGGTTCCCTCACAAATAAACTAAGTTTAGGTACAAACTCAAAAAGATACTGAGACAGTAGTCCATTTTTTAATTGCTAAGTTAGCCTTTTTGAAACTTCACTGTGTAGCTCTGCCAACCACATGTACTTTTGACATCTAAAGCTCACAAGAACAAAGTAGGAATGAAAACTTAATTACCTGGCATTTGTTTCTAATATCCACCCAGGTGTGATTGACATATGTACATTTGTGGGCAACAAATCACTAAGATATAATCACTTGTATTGGGTTACTATCGACAAGACCATGAAGATTTCTGACATCTGGACCCTAAAATAAGTTTGAAACCTGGCTTCACTACCTACTAGGGGTTATGATCCCAGGCAAGTCAGTTTCCTCGTGCTTCACTTCTTTCAGCTATAAACATCTAGTCAGAAGCTTGTAAGCTTGAAATAAGACAGTGCTTATAAACTTATTCTTTTCAACATAGCATGGTACATAGGAAGTGCTAATAAGTTAAAGCTTTTGTTACTTTTGGAAAAAACAGCCATGGCAAGACAGTTTAAATACTGTTGATCTTAAGCACAGTATATACATCTTGCTTTTAGCCAGTCCATATGACAGCAAGATGATAAACAGACTTTATCTTTGACTTGTACTATCAGTAAAATAATTCAACTTCAGCTTTTAGAAAGATATATAACAATTAAGAGTGACAGTCCTGTCTTCCTACTCTTTTTCAATTGAAAAAGAAGCAAATTTTCTAAGTTAAATTACAGTCCATTAATGACATTCTTAAGTGCAGATGTATCCTATCCTGTGGTAGGTAGGTGGGGAAAGAAGCTAAAAAAGAATATCCTTAGCCAGGGAAGGCATAATGTGCCAATAAACTGCAATTTCCTCTATCTGGTGGTAAACTTGTTCAGGGAAGAGACTGTGACTTATGCCTCTGCCATAATCAAAGAAGTTGGCATAAAGCAGGCAATGATTAACGAGTTTTTGATTAAACGTATAAGGGTTGTGCGCTGTATGGGATTCTGCAGCAATTTCTGAGAACACAACCTCATTAATTTTTCACCATGGAAATGCTCAGCTTTTGCGGGGCGGAGGTGGTGAGGGGTCATACCTGATTTATAGGCTGTAACAGGCATGCATCCTTTCTCCAGAAATATATGCAACATTCAGCATGGGAATTCATAAATTCACTTTGAGGGCCTAGAGTGGAGGCAGTTGGCATTTACCATAACAAAGGTAAAATGCCTTCAGACAGATTCGGGGATGTTATTACTACTACCAACTTTACAACTGCTCCCTGGCCACACTAGCTTCACTTCTTTTTCTTAGCCTGGACATGTAAGCATTTCTTTTGTTAACTTTTGTGACTTACAGTTCCAGCTTTTATGAGACATCTGAACTATCAAAGGAACCTGCAATAATACAAAATAACGCATGCACACATAAAACCTTAATAATGGGGAAGCAAAAGGGGAGAAAGGCCCAAGGCTAGGCACTACTCTGAGAAATATATAAAGCTCCTAAAGAGAAGCCCACCGGTGCAGAGAACTCCAAGCATTAAAAAATCTGTAGTTTGTAAAGTAGTATCTTTCAGGTGTGGAGAATGATGTAGGAAGGGCCTAAAAGGCCACTGATTCTAAAGATTAAGATGGGGGTACGGAGCTTGGTGCCAAAAACCCAAAAGAACAATTAAATAACGCTGGGTCAAGCCCCACAGGGCGACTTAAGAAGACACAACAAACAAAAATCACAAACAGTGGAAACCCGGAAAGCGCTAATGCCTAAGGGTCAATGGCCACAGCCAATCTATGTAACCGACGGATTAGGCTACACCAGTGTATTTCTTCCCCACAAAGCAGGAAAGTGGCCTCTGCGGGAGTGGCCGGGGCTCCGCAACCTCGCGGTCTTCCTTGGACAGTGGGCCCAGAGTCTCCCCGGATAGGCGTGCAGGGACCACATGGCTTCATGGCCCGTGCAAGCTCAGATCCCCGCGAGAGCCAAGTTACTGAGAGGGGTTCCTGGTCCAAGCACCCATGGCCGCCGCACAACCCCTCAGCGCTAGCCCGGGCCCACAACCGCTTCACGAAGCTCGGCCGTACCCCGCCATCCCCAGTTCTTACCATAGTGAGGCCGGCGATGCCCCAGCCACATCACCCTTCCGGGCTCAGGGCGGAAGGGGCGTGCACACACCGCCTGCTCTTCTCGCCCTCTCCTCCCGTCCGGTTGGATTCGCCACGGCACCTCCTCCCGAGCCGCGCGACTCAGACGCTAGGATAGGCTCCTCTCTACCGGAAAAGGCGGGATTTAGTAGATGCCCTGCGGGCCTGAGGAAGCAGCTGACACTCCCATTGGCTGCGGACGTTTAATTTGCGAAAGCGGGTCTTTCACAGGAGACCGGAAGTGGAATCTTGGAGAGGTAGGGTCCGGAAGTGGGGCTGTCTCTTTAAATCATAGTTAAATGTTGTCCTGTTCTTTTAATTTTTTTTCTATTTTCTCTCTTTTTCTTTTTTTGAATACCCTGTTATTTACTTTTAGAATTCCACAGTGCGCGAATCCTCCTCAACGTGTGAGCCTTATGCCTATGGGCTCTTTGGGATGCTAGGGTTCCCTAGCATCATTCACAGGGCATTCACCTGTTGAACCCCATTTTTTAGTTTGTCCCGTTGCACCTGAGGGATTCTTAGTAATGCAAAGCGCTGTTGAAATGCTCTGTATTGGTTATGGGATTAGGAGGACCATTGAATCCAGAGGGTTGTGTTGAGTAGGTGGTTTGATCATTTCCCTAACATCAGCTTTTTCTCCTTCCAGCCCCCAGCTTCTGGAAAACTGTCAGTGGCTTCCACTTGGGGCTGAAACGTACTAGGCCCTTTTGGCTCAGGAAATAACTTTCTGTGGTAACCAGTGGAAAGGAACTGTCTTTTCAGGAGTGCAGCAGTAGCTTAGCTACTCTAGAGAAATATCAACCAGCAAAACTAATGACAAGCCAACTTTTACTTTGAATCAGTAGTAATAGTATTTAGCTTTTTCCAATTTTAATAATCTCATTGAGTTTCTATCTATGCCCTCCCACTCCACCAGCCCCCTAGTTTTTCTTTCTGCATTTTATAGAGGGAGAAATAGGCACTTTGATGTGTTCGAGCTTGCACAGTTCTTGGAATTTTTCAGAAGTCAGAGTATTCCACTCTTTACTTCTTTAAGTGGATCAGAAAATTATAGCAACCCTTTGGCTCCAAATGTGTGTTTTATTTTCTCTGAGGCAGCAGAAGGTTCTTTTCACAATGTTATCAAGTTTTTATTGCTTTATTGACTCAGACTATGGATAGAGAGAAAGGGAAGGTAACTCATGAAAGTTGTGGCTTGGTGAGTTGTATTTGGCCAAACTCTATAGGGCAACACAATGATTAGAAGATTTGGGATTCTGCTACTTGTGTTTACAATGTTAACTACTGCACACAAAGGTTTTGTTTTGTTTTAAACCATAACTAACTTGAATTTTTAGTTCATAGTACTGAATTGTCAAGAATTGGTCAAATACACAAATTAGCAAGTATTTACTAAGCCCTTGCTTTATTCATGGGATCATGAGATTGCAGCATAGGAACAAATATGATCTGGAGTAAAAAATGTATAAAAATGTACAGTATTCTACACTTATTGAAAAAACAATAATTTAATCAGCCATCTTGTAATTGCCTTACATTATACCTTATACTTTTTGCCATTCAAATTTAAGAAACATGGTTTAGTTATGGAAGTTATGTTGTACAATTTATTAAGCTTGGGCTCTAGAGTAAACATCTGTAGATATTATAACTACTTTGCTTTCATGTGAAGATTGTCTTGATCTTTGTGACACTTCAGAGTAATACTTCTGTCTGAAAGCTGTGCTTCAGGCTACCTGTGAAGAAGATCAGGAAACTGAAGCTGTTAGAGATCCTAATTGATTTGCTATATGTATAGATTATAACCAATATTAGGCTGTGGCTTCATATGTATCTGAGCTTCAAAATAGTAGAAAACAACGTCTGACAGTTATTTTTAAGTTATCCATAGAGAAACACAAATGCCAATAGATGTGGCTGAACATATATATATATATAATGTTTATTGTATTCTTGTAAAACATCAAATAAAGTTAATCTGACATGTGGTGAGATTTGGGGAGATATGGTAGGTGAGCTGCATGGTCATTAAGCACATGAACCCCCTGCTTTTGGTTTTCATTGATAGTGCACTAGTTTAAGTACTATGTTATATCACTATTTCAAAAGTCTTCTTTCTTGTGCTCTGCTGTGGATTCTCATTTCAAACCATCTCAGATCATTCTCTTACTAAAAATAAAATTTGACTATGTCATTTGTTTATTCAAAAATTATCATCTCTCTTGCATGTAAAAGAATATTTCCAATTTTGGTTTCATGGATTTTTAGAACTATATGTAAATATAGTGGATATTTATATTTTTATGTGGAGTGAGTACACAAGTTTCTCAGTACTGTGAGGATTAAATGACTTAATACAAGTAATCATCTAACTAAATATTTGGCATACAGCAAGGACTCACAAAGTGTTGACTATTATTGTGTACATGGCTTTCTCCTTCACTAAATTAAAAGTCCCCAGAGAGAAGGGATTACAATGGAGGAATGATTGACTTGCATGCATTATACATTAAATACAGTAGTGGCCTCTAATCTGAGGTTTTGATTTGCACATTTTCTGTTCCATCAACCATGGTCTGAAAATATTAAATGGAAAATTCCAGAAATAAACTCATAAGTTTTAAATGGTGTGCCATTCTGAGTAGTGACGAAATCTTGCATCATCCTACCCCATTCTGCTGGGGTGGTGAATCATGCCTTTATCCAGCATATTCCTGCTGTATATATTGCCCGAATGTTAGTCATATAGTAGTTGGCTTGGTTATCAGTCCACTGGAGAGGTATCATAGTGCTTATGTTTAAGTAACCCTTATTTTACTTAATAATGTCCTGAAAGGGCAAGAGTCATGATGCTAGTAATTTGGATATGCCAAAGAGAAGCTGTCAAGTGCTTCCTTTAAGTGAAAAGGTGACAGTTCTCGACTTAAGGGGAGAGAAAAAATTTGTATGTTAAGGCTGCTAACATCTATGGTAAGAATACATCTTCTATCCGTGAAATTGTGAAGAAGGAAAAAGAAATTAGTGCTAGTTTTGCTGTTTCAGCTCAAACTGCGGAAGTTATGCCCCCAGAGTGCTGTAAGTGCTTAGTTAAGATGAAGGCATTAAATTTGTGGGTAGGAGACATGAACAGAAACACGTTCTGATCGACCACAATTGGGTTTAGTAGTATCTGTGGTTTCAGGCCTCCACTGGAGATATTGGAGCACGTCACACTTAGATAAGGGGTGACTACTGTAAAAGGTTTTTGAGTTAAATTGGTATTGCATTTATACCACCAGACCAATTTCTCCCCATTTTCTCGTTTTACTTTGTGTCTAGTAAATATCAATGATAGTGTTGATGGTTCCTTTTACATTACTTCCTTCTTTTCACTTGTATTCACATATATTAAAAGACAATGGTTCTGCTTATTTTCTCTGATCCTTGACTAGCCTCCCTAGCCTAATGTTGAAGTTCTTTGTGTCTAGTGTTTGTCTTTTTTTCCTTCCCCTTGTTTTTTAATTCTCTTCCCCCATGGCTTTTCATGTAAGACCTCGATGTACAACATGGAGACTACAGTTAATGAAATTGTATGTGTTAGGGATTTTTGTTAAATAAGTAGATTTTTAGCTGCGCTTGTCACAAAAATAGTAACTATGTGAGATGATGGATCTTAATCTACTTCACTGAAGTAACCATTTTACTATCTATATGTATCCCATAATGTCATGTTGTAAACCTCAAATATACATAATAAAATTTGTTTAAAAAAAAGTTGCAACAAGAAAAAGTTTTGTTTGATCTATGTGTTATTCCTTTCACCTTAAGAAATGCTCTCCTTAACCTTTCTTCGTTATCAACCCTATTTAATTGTTCTTCTCTGCAACAAAAATCCTCTGAAGAGTTCTCTATGCTTCATGTCCCAATTCCTCTTTTTCTATTCTTTCTTAAGCTTACTCTAATAGGGATATTACTCCCACATTGCACCAAGTTGCTCCTGTTAGTGTCACCAGTGATCTCTAGGAGTGTTGATAATTCTCACTTCTCATCATATTTGACCTACCAGTAACCTTGGACACAGATAATCACTCCCTTCTCCATGATGTATTTTCTTCACTTGATTTCCAGTACACGATACATTCTTGGTTTTCCTTCTACCTTTTTGGTTGTACTTTCTCATTCTCCTTTGCTGGAACCTTCTAGTCTTCTTGATTCTTTAGTGTGGAAGTATGCTAGGGTTTCATCTTTTCTCTTTTTTTTCCTGTCTATATCTCTTTTTGATGATCATCAAGTTTTGTGACTTTTAAATACCACCTGTATACCAAAGCCTTCTGCATTTATATTCCTAATCTCTTCTCTTTCTGAATTTTTATCTGATTTGTTATCTTATACCAAGTTCTAAAACATTTGTCTGAGGCATAGAGGTAGGTTTTGGTTGAATGAATGAACTTGACTAGGTATTTGAATTTGTAATTCCTAATTTGCAGTCTGAAACACTGAATTATTTATCATTTTCGTATATTATGTTATGTCTTGATTCTAAGCATTTGCTCATGCAGATTCTTGTGCCTGAAATGCCCTTTCTTATCTTTTTATTCTACCTCTAAACACTTTTCACCTATCCATTTTTCCTTTTAAGATTCATATTAGACACAGCTCAAGGAAGCCTTCCCTAGAATGTCAGGTTGGATTAAGTGCTACTTTTCAGAGGAGCTCCAACCTTGCTTATGTACTTTACAAGCTTGTATTATCTTTTCTTTGGGTGTCTTTATCTCACTAGAGTGCTTACTCGTCTTTGGGACGTCAAAGCCTGGTACATACGGAAGTAAACAATGTTTTAATGTATTAATGGCATGACCAAAGACATACAGCTATGAAGCATAGGTGTGATTTCAATCTGAGTCTTCTGAATATAAAATCAATGCTCTATTTCTTATACCCTGTTTCCTAGGAAAAAAGATGTGTGTCTTTAAAATAATAGAAAGATACTGTATCCTTTTTTATACAAGTCGGAGGTAAAGCATTTTATAGCCCTGGGTAATTTGCTGCTTGTTGTTTGTGAAGGTGTCAGTACTGATGAGAATGTAAGCTGTGCTTTTTTCAAAGGCATTGACTGAAATCATTGATTAGGGGACTATTGTAGTCAGCACA